CTTCTTGTTCGCCCTACTTCTGGCGAATTATATATATATAGATGTGTTTTTCATCCGTTCTGTCTTAGCATATCAAAGCGATCATGTGAACTTCTTTGAGGCCAAATATGAGCTGAACACAAGATTCACAACGTACAATATATACGAAATGTTAACATTTTACCAAAGATTTTATGAAGAAGTTTTCCTAATTTAGATTTATTTTACAGTTAATATACATGTACAGTGAATAAACACATGTATTTAAAGAACAAGCCGACTCAAGAGTCTGAAGAATTTGTTTCACGTCACTTAGCCGGTGGATGTGAGTATCACAAATCTGGTATATGCGAGTGCCACTAGGCTGGTATATGTGAGTGCCGGAACAAAACCAAAATCAAATTTGAATAGAGAATGTGGTCTTCTAGTGAAAACGGTTTGCAAACCACCGTTGTAGAAAACAGCAACTCTCTGCTGACCATCACACAAAATGGACCTACTATCTACAACTCAACGACAATGGCGTCATCGATTTATGAGCACGTTTCAAGATGGGACACCTTGCTAACAATGAACTGCTACACGACGGTCCTTGTCAACCCTTTCATCGGAACTGTTGGAATTCTGGGGAATGCGGTCAACTGCGCCGTGCTGAGAAAAAGTGGATTTCGGAAACCGTCGAACATATTTCTGTTCTGCCTGGCAGTGGCGGATATCTTCGTGCTGACCAGTGCGGTAGATTTTGTCTCGATCATGAGCAAGTTTCCACAACGTATTCCCGTGGAGCTCGGTTATCTAGAATTCGACTGCAGGGCCTTCCCGCGGGCGGAGATTTTTATGAACATCGAAAGAATCGTATTCGGTGTGAACACCTTCGGCATGAACACGAGCCAGTGCCTTTGCGTTGTCATAACCTTAGAGCGCCTCCTTGCAATCTTCTTTCCTTTGAAATTTTCGAGGTTTATCCGCCCGAAGACTGCTTGGTGCGTTGTCGCTTCTCTGTTCTTGTTTTGGTTCGGCGCGGTTGCTGTGTATGCCAGAAAGTTTGAATTCGTGTACTACTACCTGGCAGAGTATCGAACCTGCGCGTGCACGTACTTTATTGACTTCGAGGAGGGAGAACGTGTGTTTGATGACGTCACGACCTGGCTCGGGTGTTACGTGTCCCTGGTCGTCATCGTCACCGGGTCAGTTACCATATTCATAAAAATTAAAAGTGTGAGCCGGAAGCGCCGGAGGATGTCATCTTCGTCGAGGGTCGCGGCGTCCGGCAGCCGCACCACCAGAACGCTGCTCGCGGTCTGCGTCTTGTTCGGCATCATGCAGATCGTCCGCCTCCCTTACGTCGTTACCGCACTGCGCTTCCCAGACTACGAGTCGTCAGTGCTCTACTTCTTGTCCATGGGTTTGGTGTCGAATGTAAACCACGCCAGCAATTTTGTCATCTACGTCATCTTAAACCCGAATTTTAGGAGAATCTTTAAAGAGATGGTTTGTCATTGAGCTCGATCTGAACCCAAAATTTCTTTTCGGAAGTGATAAGGGAATTCTTGAATCGAAGTGGCTATTCGGACCCGGGTCCGAGAAGTGAGAGTTTGGGATTAAATTGTTTAAAATAATATTATTGTTAGGTTGTAAGACAAAATTTGGTATCAAATAAAAGATAAATGAATGGACTATATGTTTGTAGACTTATTTCTTCAGTTTATCTAAAATAAACTACCACAAATGACATCCGAATAGCATTTAGTCTTATGGGACCAGGGTCCGAATAGCATTTAGCCTTATGGGACCAGCGTCCGAATAGCATTTAGCCTTATGGGACCTGGGTCCGAATAGCATTTAGCCTTATGGGACCAGCGTCCGAATAGCATTTAGCCTTATGGGACCAGCGTCCGAATAGCATTTAGCCTTATGGGACCAGCGTCCGAATAGCATTTAGTCTTATGGGACCTGGGTCCGAATAGCATTTAGTCTTATGGGACCTGGGTCCGAATAGCATTTAGTCTTATGGGACCAGGGTCCGAATAGCATTTAGCCTTATGGGACCAGCGTCCGAATAGCATTTAGCCTTATGGGACCAGCGTCCGAATAGCATTTAGCCTTATGGGACCAGCGTCCGAATAGCATTTAGCCTTATGGGACCAGCGTCCGAATAGCATTTAGTCTTATGGGACCTGGGTCCGAATAGCATTTAGTCTTATGGGACCTGGGTCCGAATAGCATTTAGTCTTATGGGACCTGGGTCCGAATAGCATTTAGTCTTATGGGACCAGCGTCCGAATAGCATTTAGCCTTATGGGACCAGCGTCCGAATAGCATTTAGTCTTATGGGACCAGCGTCCGAATAGCATTTAGTCTTATGGGACCAGCGTCCGAATAGCATTTAGTCTTATGGGACCAGCGTCCGAATAGCATTTAGCCTTATGGGACCAGCGTCCGAATAGCATTTAGTCTTATGGGACCAGCGTCCGAATAGCATTTAGCCTTATGGGACCAGCGTCCGAATAGCATTTAGTCTTATGGGACCTGGGTCCGAATAGCGACAATGCGTTTTCGGCTCCTTTTTGACTAAATGCTATTTGTATGTGATTTGGGGTAATTTTATTTTAGTTAAACTGAAGAAGTAAGTTTACAAACATAGAGTACATTCAATTATCTTTCATTTGATACCAAACTTTATCTTACAAACCCTACAATAAATTTTAATTTTAAAAAAAAACCAAAACCAAACTCTCACTTCTCGGACCCGGGTCCGAATAGCCGCAGCCTTCTTGAATACTACCGCATTGTACTCTTCCCGTGGTTAAGTTAGGAGTTAAAACCTCACACAGACCAATTCAAATATTTTTAAACACACGAACTAAAAATATTTTTTAAAATATAAAATAAGTGGGAATTAAAGAACAGAATTAAAAAAATTCTGTGTAATGTGTTATGCAAAGCATACCAGCCAAGACTCTACTCATCAAACAAGAAAAGCATTGGTTGATTCGAGTACTAATAATAGCGCCAATGTTTGAACTACGCTGTGGAATTTGGTTTTTATTTCCCCATGTAAATAAGAAACAGCTGGAACGCTTAAGAGTATGAATTAAGTCTAAAGGATAAGGTTTCAGAAGCTACAGTCCAACACAATGATCGCTGCATTGAAGATTGGTGCAATATTTGATAAAGGGGTGTTAAAGATGATCCATATCTAGATGGCAGTTCATCTATTTCTCAGAGATTCCTCTTGAACACTGGCAGAGCACAAGAACAAAGGGGTGGGTTGTTGTTGTTGTTTTTTTTTAATGCAAAATTTAGTCTTCGACATTCTCACCAGTTGAGATGATGACATGTATCGTCATTCAGTTAGCAAAGAAAGATTTTTAAATGTGAATTAGCATCAAGTATGAAAGCCAGAATTCGATTAAGCTCTTGTTTTGTTTTTTTTTTTTTTTCCCCCCCCCCCCCCCCATTGTCATGATTGGATTTTACCTGACCTCAAAATCTATGTTCTGAAAAATATGATTACAAAAAATATGTCTTCCTTCCCATTAAAATCCCGAAGACATTTGGTTTTATTTGCACGGTTACGCCATCTGCATCAATTCTCAATGTTTTGTTAATTACTAAAGAACATATGCTTACAAACAATGCACACGTTAGCCGACTTTTCCCCCGTTCTCCTTAACGTTGGCTTTTGTTTAACTTGACTGATCCGTGCTTGCAGTCTTTGTTCTTGGTGTCCTGTTGAAAACAAGGTGAAAATGAATTTTTAAAAAGTTACTCATATTTTTAAAAACACAAAATTATATTACCCAGCCAATATCTGTGACTTTGATTACTTTAATTGTCCTGTGGTGTTTGAATTGAAAACAAAAGGGCAAAAAAATAATAATGTGATATTTGTGGCTAGAAATATTATGTCATAGCGTACGCATCGCAACTGTTGGTAGACGAATTAAAAAATAGTTCAATAACAGCCACCAGCTCCTGCACGTCATCGGCTTTGTCACGCTGCAGCTGGGTTGTGGGGCAAAAAAATGTGTGGGGGGGGGGGGGGCGGGGGNTGGGACATTGTCACGCTGTAGCTGGTTTGTGGGAAAAGGGAGGGGGGGGGGTGTTGCTTTGGCCTTTAAAAAAAAATCATGTAAATACCTAAAAAAAATCAACATCTGATTCGGTTTGTGATTAGTTTGTCACTACAAACTGGCGTGTTTAATTGGCTATAAACACGAGACTACACAACATGATGCGTCATTCTCGGAGCTTAAATATCATCACTAAAACAAAGAATAACGTGTTTACCCCCCTTGGTGTTCTTTCGTGCAGTTCGGTTTCCAAAAGTTGAGCTAGTTTTTTTTTTTTTGTTTTTGTTTTTTTTTAAATTGTCTTTTTCATTTACGTATTTTATAGTATAGGGCCTCAAATGATTGGAACAGCATATTGAGTAAAACACAGGTTAACAAGTAAAAGAAGGAATTTCATCATCTACTGAAGGGCAATACACACACAAACACATACAAACAAAACAACGTGTTCATTAGCAATTAAACAAAACCAAATAAAAAACTATAGAAAAAAAAGAAGAAAAAAAAGAAAAACAACAAAGGAGTCTTTTTATGAGCGGTGATACACTGATACAAGTATAGAAGCTAGTCTTCAAAGCAACATTTCTTATGGTGATAATTAATGTGAATGATCAAGATGTAACGACTTAGGATTTGGATATCAGGATACAGCCGCGTTGGTATCATTTTTTTCTGATGATGATAGTTTACTTATCATGGGTTCGTCGAGCGGGTCTCTGAATATAAGGGGAAAGTCATTATAAACATTTCTTCTACCTGATTCACCTTCCTGGTCGCTGACTAAGCTGATGTTTATGAAAACAAAAACAATGGGAAACTAAAATGTTAAGCGACGAACAGACAACAACAGATTCACACCTAAACATTGCTACTTATACCATAAACTCCACTTCGTCGAGCTCATCAAGTAATGCTTACTTTCCTGCTTGGGGCCCGGCCATCGCGATGAACTGGTTCACCATCGTGATCGTTAATCCGATCCTCGGAACCGTCGGTATCGTCGGCAACGTGCTCAACTGCGTTGTGTTGAAGAAAAGTGGCTTCAACAAGCCGTCCAACATCTTCTTGTTCGGCCTGGCTGTCTCCGACGTGTTCGTCCTGCTGGGCGCCGTGGACGTTGTGAGCATACTGACCCAGTTTCCGAAACGAATCCCTCTGGGGTTCAGCTTTTGGGAATTCGACTGCAGCGACGCGCGAATGGCTGTGTTTTACTTAAATGTGAAAAGGATCGTCTACGCGTTCCAGATCGTCGGCATGAACATCAGTCCGTGTTTCTGCGTGGTGATAACCCTGGAGCGGCTGGTCGCCATTTTCTTTCCTTTACAGTTTTCGAGGATAATCCGGCCGCGCAGAGCCTGGACCGTGGTTACCTGCTCCTTTCTGTTTTGGGCAGGATTCGGGGCGGTTTTTGTAAACAGGTTCACGTTTGTGATAGGATACTGGGCCCAATTCAGGTCGTGCGTTTGTAAATACGCGCTGCTGCCGAACGACGCCGAGAAACTGTTTGATAAGATTGCCACTTGGTTCGTCTGGTACATCGCGCTGGGCATCATCATTCTGGGATCCGTCGTTATATTCGCGAGGATAAAAGTGTTCAGCCTGAATCGCCGGAGAATGACGTCATCGAAATCCGCGTCCAGCAGCCGCACCACGCGAACGCTGCTGGCCGTGTGCGTGGTATTCAGCTGCACGCAGATCGTCCGCTTTCCGTACGTCATGTTCAAGCTCAGCTTCTCCGACTACGACACCCAAGGGATGTACGTCTCCGCCATGGCGCTCATGTCGTACGTCAACAGCGCCTGCAACTTCGTCATTTACATCTTGCTGAACAAGAAGTTCAGGACGATTCTCAGAGCGATGATCTGTCCAATGAAAACCAAGTAGAAGCTTAAGTGTTACGGATGGCTGATTTTTAAGAGCCAGCAAGAACTGTATGAGCAATTATTTGATTTGGCTCGTCCATTATCATGACTGAGCCTAGCATAAGCTGGTATATAATTTGTTCAAATTATTTTTTTTTTAGTTGAAAAAAATGAAGTTTTTCTTTAAATGTTTCATCAAACAGTTGTTTATTGTTGATAATGACATACGTGTTTTATCTCCCGTGAATGTTGTCAACAATAAAATGTTGTACGTGAAAGTCAACAATTCCGAGTTACATGTTTTTTAAAAATAGTAAAACTCTTAAATTCTCTCAGATAAATTAGGATTTTAATTAAAATGACTCCCTTAGCGCAATACAAAGACAGGCTATAAATAGTAAATAGCACTTGGGTGGGGGAGGACAATCTTTTTACACAGCTGTTTTTCCAATGAATAACTTTATGTAACTTTTTTTTTTTATGTTAATTTTTTTTTTTTTTTGGTTGCTAATTTTTCTGTGAAGCGCATTGAGCCTAACCCTTGCCTGGGGTACTGCGCTATTTATGACCTTACAAAGACAGGCTATAAATAGTAAATAGCACTTGGGTGGGGGAGGACAATCTTTTTACACAGCTGTTTTTCCAATGAATAACTTTATGTAACTTTTTTTTTTTTATGTTAATTTTTTTTTTTTTTTTGGTTGCTAATTTTTCTGTGAAGCGCATTGAGCCTAACCCTTGCCTGGGGTACTGCGCTATTTATGACCACTAATAATAATAATATTTTTTAAAAAAGTATACCATAAATATGATCATTTGTCTTTTCGTTAAGAGGGAGATGAACGATTGTATCGCTTCCGTTATTGGATTTTGTTCTTTACACACCTTTTCAACAGCAAATTTGATTGACATCCTCAATCTCGCCAATCTCGAGCTGCACACCCTCTGTGTTCTACGAGAGCACAAGCCTTCAAGAAATGTATCTTCAACAAATTATTATTATTGTTATTTTTGAAAAGAACAGCAACAATATACTCATTATAGAAAAGTAAAACAATTTTGTTGAAACTTTGTTTTTGCTGTGAGCCTTGTTGACCATAGCCTTCCAGATGTGAACTATTGGTCAGTTTGAAGTGCGTTTTTGGTGGATCGGCGGATGGCTGTCTGAAAATTAGTTCCCTTGCGACGGTCTTTTGGCTTAAGCAAGATCGGTAAATGCGTAAGAGGGAGATAAGAGAGAGATAAGATGGATATAAGGAGATAAGAGGGAGACAAGACGGAGATAAGATGGATATTGCGAAATACGAGGGATATGAGAGATGGGTAAGAGATAGATAATAGAGAGAGAGAAGAGGTAGATAAGAGAAAGATAAGAAAAATATATGAAAAAGATAAGAGAGAGGTGAGAGAGATATAAGAGGGAGATAAGAGAGAGAGAGTATTAAGAGAAAGAGAAATAAGAGAAATAGAAATAAAAGAGAGAAAAGGAGGGATATAAGAGAGAGATAATAGAGAAATAGGGGATAGAGATCAGATCTAGAAATAAGAGAGATATATACGAGATGAAGAGATAAGAGATAGTTATATATAAGGGGGAAATAAGAGATAAGAGGGAAATAAGAGAGAGAAGTACGAGAAATAAGAGAGAGATAAGAGCGAGCTAAAAGAGTGATATAAAAAGAGATTTAAGAGAGAGAAGTAAGAGGGAGATAAAAGAGAGATAAGAAAGAGTGATAAGAGAGAGAGAGAGAGAGAGAGTGAGAGAGAGAGATACCAGCCTCTTTCACCTGATAATTATACATGTAATATTGCTAAAAAAGTTTACTTTAAATCAATCAAAGTTGTTTGTGGTGCAGTTCCATTGGTCAACCGTGAATTTGTTGCACTGCAACAGGTGCAGTTCCATTGGTCAACCGTGAATTTGTTGCACTGCAACAGGTGCAGTTCCATTGGTCAACCGTGAATTTGGTGCACTGCAACAGGTGCAGTTCCATTGGTCAACCATGAATTTGTTGCACTGCCACAGGTGCAGTTCAATTGTCAACCGTGAATTTGTTGCACGGCAACAGGTGCAGTTCAATTGATGACATGTGTGTTTGATGTACGGCAACAGGTGCAGTTCAATTGGTCAACCATGAATTTGTTGCACGGCAACAGGTGCAGTTCAATTGGTCAACCGTGAATTTGTTGCACGGCAACAAGTGCAGTTCAATTGGTGACATGTGGTTTTGATGTACGACAGGTTCAGTTCAATTGATGACATGTGTGTTTGATGTACGGCAAGTTCAGTTCAATAGTTGACATGTGGGTTTGATGTACGACCCGTGCCATTCCATGGATCACACTACTTAGCTTACTTGTATTTTATAATATAGAAGTGAGAGTCGGATACAAGATAAACAATAATCGATCACTTCGAAGAAAAAAATAACCAAAATTCGATTCCAAACATGTTTATTTATATCTGATAATCTACTCTTTAATAATCGAAAGCTTTCTTAGACCCATGTGTACGTTATTTAGGGCATCTTCCTGCTACAGTGACAATGTGTTATTACTTTAATAGAATATATGACCCTATGCTATCGGGACACTACTGGTAGACATTTTAATTTCTTTCCAAGCTATTGCTGAATCTCATCAGAATTCTTTATTTCAAAAAGACGTATCCATGGAATGATGTTTACGTTTCCAGCATTATTTTGATATATGAAATATTGATGTTTTAGAAAATCTACGGCTACACTACTGTGTCTTCTCACGCTCCTGAGCCACATTTATAAAAACATATTTCCCAATAACGGGATTTGGTATGCTGGTATCTCCATTAAAATTCTAACCAAACTTTTGGCTTGTTGTTCTAATATTATATCGGACAATCGGAAAACAAAGAATTCTTTTATCTAAAGAAGAATCTCTTAACCCATTTTCACGTCTGTAACAGCCTCGAGTGGTTAAATAAAGAGCTATTTTAAATCTCTTAAACATCTACTCCCAGTTTACTTTTCGCATATTGGAAACACAAAAATTGATTTTTTTTACATTTTGAAAGAAAATCTAAACTCATCTTTGTTCACGCTCTTAGACTGTAAAAGGGGGGGGGGAAATATTGCTCTATATTTTCTTTTTTTTTTTTTTTTTTTTTTTTTTTTTTTTTTTTTTTTTTTTTTTTTTTTTTTGTTATTAGTTCTTGGCATAATTCCGTGCATTAAAAATTATGTTTATTTGATTTAACATTAAAATTTATAACCTAAGTTCAAATCTGTAACATAAATTGTTTTTTGAGATTTTTGATATCAAAATGAACTAATATCTTAACAATAAAATTCGGATGACTGACTTAAAATAATTCTTTTATTTGTTATACTAATTTTATTTCTAATTTATAATAATACTACTTAAACATAACGAGACGTATTTTATTTTTAAAGATGTTTAAATTTATTAGATTCCCGTAAAATTGTAGAGAATCCATATCTTTGTTTTTTTAAGATTGTGAACGTATTTTGTAAGTGTTATAAGGTCCAGCCTGGCTCATTCTTATACAATTAGAATAAATGACCCGATGTTATCAGAAGCCTATTTCGCCAAAACTCTTAGGTTTCTTTAAATTTAATACAAACCTGATTTTTTATTTTCCTTTCTTAAAAGTAAAATTAATAAATACAATTGATTGCTCTTTAAATTGGTAATAAAACACACACACACACATTTTTGCTTTGTATATTTTTTACATTTAAAAAGTTTTGCCTGTCTTGATTCCAAAAAATATACTTTTATTAAATTTATAACGTAGTAAAAACTAACCTTAAGTTACTCCATAGCTAAATAGCATTCACTAATCCACTTATACCTCATACCAATAAGAACCAACCATATGAAGTGCTAAAGATGTTAGTTTGGGTATGGAAGGTACTACAATCCGGTGGAAGATTCTCTAAATTTTTTATACAATAATATATTAATATGTTCATTTTGCCTGCAAAAGATACATCTCAAAATAAAGAAATGATTATGATAAAAAATAAACCCTTTTGGGTACATACATATCGGCGGTAGGAAATAGGATGTGTACATTTTTACGTGGATGATAATATATTTAAATCCTATGTTATTACATTTGTGAAAAAAATCTCTTTTTACAAATTTTGGTATGTTCGTTTTGGCCATGGCAATACAACATATGTCCCAAAATAAAGGAATTATTTTGATTAATAATTAACCTTCTTGGGTGCATACATATCGGAGATAAGGAAAAAGGATGTGTACATTTTTACGTGGATGACATTATATTTAAATCCTATGGTATTAAATTTGTGAAAAATAAGATGTTAAATTCTCTTTTTACAAAGAAACAAATGTTTACCAATTAAGAAAATCAATTGCGTTAACAAATCTTCGGTACATTTATGTAAGTATATCCATGAATCTCAAAACCCAATCATTTTACACACTTGAAAATTAAATTTTTACAAATGAAGATGGGTTAATATTTCCCTATTTTTTTAAAATGAAAATATATTTTTGTTGTTACTTTGCAAAAAGTAAAGAGGTGTTTTTTTTTTAAAAAATGAAATTAACAATTTATTTTTTTTAAAGACAGTCAAGTCTGATATAGGCGTGAAAAACAGTTGCGAGATTCTCCTTAGATAAAGAATTCTCTTTGTTACGATTTTCTGATAGTTTATAATTTTTTTAAAAAGGCAACATTATGTATACATTTTTATGAAGATATCAATATATATCGAATTTCTGTAATACACAATATATTTGTATCATATATAAAGTTTTTGTTGTAAATTTAAGATTAGGTTTTTAAAAAAAAATTGAGAGAAAGAAGTTGTAATTCAAGGGCACGAAGATGGGTAAATTTCAAAAATTTCTCTAACGTAGTAATTGTCATTCAATTAATTTCTTTAGTGACAAAAGTGATATAATTAGTGATAATTTAGACTGGGTAATTTAAGGTCATGTTTAGAGGGGGGAAGTAGTTTAGGAGCGTGAAAGGGTGTAGGGTAGGCGTATAATATATAGCAGATAAACACTTCTCAAAACTTAATGATGTTAGAAACGTAAATATCATTACATTTTAAAAGTTATAAAGCTGGGATGAGTTTTTACAATAGCAGTTAGAAATTATCGCAAAGGGCCTACCATTATTATCCCGATAACATCGGGTCATTTATTCTAGTATATAAGAATGAGCTAGCGTCACATAACGCTTAAAGGGAGATATGATTTCAGTATGTTCAGATTCCTAAAAACAATCATTGTTATTTTCTATTATTTTACGGAAATCGAATAAATTTTAATGTGCAAAAAATATTTTAAATCCGCTGTTATTTTAGTAAAATTATTATTATATATTACAAATACATTTAAAGTATTAACTAAGGAACTATTTTAAGTATTTTATGTGTGTTTAAAAGTTATGAAAAAATTTTAAAAATAAAAAATCATGATCAAAGAATTACACCGTAATCACGTTTACTGGAACAACCCAAACATCAGTTGTTTTAGTGCGTCTTTTAGTGCATTGTTAACATAGCGAAATAAAATGTTTAATTAATTTGTTCTAAATAATCACGTAAATGACATCATTGCGCGAATAGCTTAGTTCTCCAAAACTCTTAGGTGTGTTTAAATTTAATAACCGCGAGTGATAAAACTGATACTGTATTTTCCCTTCTCAAAAGTAAAATTAATAAAATTAATAAATATAGTAGATTGCTTTTTTTTTTTTAAATGTAAATAAAACACACACACGCACATTTCCACTGTGTATATTAAAATTAAAACTTTGGCCTATTTTTATTCCAAAAATATACATTTATTAAAATTATAACATAATAAAAACTAACCTTGAAATATAATTATAACAAGAAAATGCGGTTTAACTCAAACAGTGCAGCGTAACTGCATATCCAAATAGCATTGACTAATCAACTTATAACTAAAACAAAAAAGAACGAACCATATGAAGTGCAAATTATTTTAGTTTGGGTATGGAAGGGACTACATTAACTACAAAATTGTGTCCCTGGCGAACATCTGCATAGATGGCTCAGCACCGGAATATCTCAAGGAACTGATTTATAAACATATACTTCTGAAGAGCTTGCGGTCTTCAACACAGTACTTACTGAGTGTTCCTAGAGTGGATAAACACAGAAAAAAGTCTTAAGGAGTGCGCTCTTTTGAAGCGATAGCGCCAAAATTACGGAACAATTTGCCTCAATCTTTGAAGGGAATTTTAAATGATTTTAAAAAATCATTTAAGAAACAATTAAAAACTTTTTTGTTTTAGTAGATTTCCGAGGACCAGAGAGCAGTGAGCATGCTAAAGTGGCATTTATACCAGCGCGATATAAATAGCAAATCAATCAAATCAAACTATCCGGTAAAAGATTTTTCTAAATTTATTTAAATCTGGGTGGGGGAGTGGTTGGTAACGTTGCCCCTGGCAGCAAAAGATACGTCTCAAAATAAAGGAATGAATTTGATAAATAATTAACCTTCTTGGGTACATACATTTCAGAGGTAGGAAATAGGATGTGCACATTTTCACTTGGATGACAATATATTTAACTCCTATGGTATTACATTTGGGAAAAAAGAGATGTTACATTCTTTTTTTACTAATATGTGTATGTTCATTTTACTCAAGGCAGCACAAGATACGTCTAAAAATATAGGAATGATTTTGATACATAATTAATTTTCTTGTGTACATACATGTCGGAGGTATGAAATAAGATGTGTACATTTTTACGTGGATGGCAATATCGTTAACTCCTATGGTATTACATTTATGAAAAAGAGATGTTACTCTCTCTTTTCACAAATATACTTATGTTTACCAATTAAGAATATCAACGGCGTTAACAAATCTTGGGTACATTTAGATAAATATAACCATGAATAGCAAAACCCAATCATTTTACACACTTGAAAAATTAACTTTAAAAAAATAAGGATGTGTTAATATTTACTTTCAAAAAACATTTTTGTTTTTACTTTGCAAAAAGTAAAGAGATTTGGATTTTATTATATTAAACCTTTAAATAAAAAATAAAAAAAAACAAGACTCAAATCTGTGATAGATGTGAAAAAAAGCTTGCGCGATTCTTCTTTAGATAAAAATATTCTTTGTTTTACGATTTTCTGATAATATATAATTTTTTTTAGAAAAGGCAAAAAATATGTTTTAATTTTGCTGAAGATATCAATATATATTTAATTCCTATAACATAAAATATTTTTATATCATATATAGAGTTTTTGGTGTAAATTTAAGGCAAGTTTTTAAAACAATTTTTAGAGAAAAAAAAGGTGTAATTCAAAGGCACGAAAATGGGTAAATCTAAAGTATTTCTCTATCGTAGTAATTTTCACTAAATTAACTTCTTTAGTGACAAAAGTGATATAATTAGTAATAAATTATACTGTGTAATTAATGTCATGTTTAGAGGAGGAAAGAAGTAGTTTAGGAGCGTGAAAAGTAGCAGGGTAGGCCTATAATTTATAGAAGATAATTTCTTCTCAAAACGTAATGATGTTAGAAACGTAAATATTATTGCATTTTTAAAGTTATGAATTGTTATGATTTTTTGCAATGACAGAAATTATCGCATAGGATCTACCATTATTAACCCGATAACATCGTTTCATTTATTCTAGTACGTAACATATTGGTTGACAGACATATTGCTATTACGTGTTGTTTAGAGAAAGGATCAGATAAATCCATTGCCTATTTTACTGATAAAAGTATTCAAAGAGTTTTGTAATTGGTTTATCCCTTACTTTTGTTGTTGTTTTAGATAATTGTTTGTTTGCAGATGAACAGTTTCGCTGTTTCATCCAGTGGACATTTGCCAGTGGATCGTATCACGTTTATTGAGTTTTTCTACGGATTTTACGGACAGTCTGTCAACGTGTCTTGGCGTATAAAAAAGTATGGAAAATAATTATACATTTGTTGGGCCAGGCAATTAGTCTGTCACAGAACAGATATGACAGTCAACACCGGTGTGTATAATTCAGTTCATTTTTTAGTGTAAAATCTTGTTCAGAGCGAAGTTTCTGGTCGCTTTAGTAATGTCAAATTAACATAGATATCAAATAATTGTACCTGTTTTAACGTTCTAGCTAATCGATCGATGCACTCTGTTGTTATTTTTTTACTAACAAATCAATACTTAATACAGGAATGTGAGCTTTGAGAAAGTCGATTCAATTATTCAAACAAATCGATAGGGTTTAGTATCTCACTACTACTTGTTTGTTAAATTTTTCATGGAGAAATTTTTTAACCGATAACATACTCATCACGTCGTTTGGATTAGAGCAATCATATCGTGGGACTAGAAGAGTTTCATGAGTTAAAATTTAACAATTTTTTTAAATTAACTCACTGCTCTTGGTTAAACACATATTGCTAAAGTGTTGTTTTTTTTTTGTTGTTTTTTTTTAAACAAAAACAAATATATACATACGTGCACTCCATTGCAGCACTTTATAAACTCACCTAGAAAACGTCTGGAGACAAATAGTCCGAGACGAACACTTACCCATATCAATGAGTTCTGCTTGAGTGACCTTATCGGTGTGGTATTTTCACCTCAACTCATTATGGACAGATCAGTGCACTGAATATCGCATCGCGTATCTATTTTACTTTTAAAAAAGTCCTAGTTTTTAAAAAGAATATGAAATAACATGATTGTCAAAGCACACATATTATTTTGTGGAGAGTTGATAGACTGACGACAATAAAAGAAATAGAAACATATAATAATAAAAGTATGACTACTCAACAGCTCAAAACTTATATCCAAGATATGGCAATTTTTGATTCATTGATTACCAAAGGTAATATAAATTGACATACACAATTTAGAAATATTTTTTTTTTATTTTTGCAAATTCAAGATGAAAATTCTAATGTCTTTGGTAATACGGTATTTACTTACAAACCATACACCTTACATTACTAGCGCGTCCAGCACGCCACCGAATGACAGTGTTATTGTTCAAGTCAATGACAGCACAGAGCCTGTTTTAGTACAACGTGAGGACCCTCCTATGACTACAAACGTATCAGAAAACCTGGACATGCACATAAACGGGGATACAATCACGCCGAAGGGTGTCAGCACAACAATGGACACTGTCACGTGTCAACATGGCAATCATCCGGTGCAAGAAAGGTTACACGGCAATGTTACGGTGGAATTGGACGTAAGATTTAACGCCACTGACAACTCTACAAAAAAAGTGGAGCGTATTTGCGGAGAGAATCCTTTATGTACTGATTTTTACGATGACAACAACACGAACGTGGTGGACAAAGACAATGATGACGCAACAATGGACTATGCAACACTGAACTACGCAACACTGGACTACGCAACACTGGTCTACGCAACACTGGACTACGCAACGCTGATAGCGGATAACGCTTCCAGTGTGTTACATATCACAACAACTTTTCAAGGTCCAGATTGGACATCTTCGATGGACGGTAGTCGCCATTTGGAAACGAGCACAACATATTTGGTGTCAAAGGTCAAACATCAGACGAACCAATCCGCGATAACCGATTTTTCAACCGCTGCAATGGCGTCATCAAATGCGGCGTCCTACCCGGTGTACACTCGCTTCTTCGCCTTGGATCGCTACATGACCGTCGTTGTCAATCCACTCATCGGAGTCGTTGGCATCGCGGGGAACGCCGTCAACTGCGCGGTGCTGAGAAAGAGCGGCTTCTCGAAACCGTCCAACATTTTCCTGTTCGGCTTAGCCGTGGCCGACCTTCTCGGACTGCTCCCGGCCGTAGACGTTGCCTTTATGCTGACCAAGTTTCCCAAACATATCCCCCCGGGTTACAGCTACTGGGAGTACGACTGCACGGACAACCGCCTCGCCTTGTTTTACTTGAATGTGAGCAGGATCTTAATTTCCCTAGCCGCTTTCGGACAAAACGCCAGCTGCTGTCTCTGCGTTATTATAACCATCGAACGCCTGATCGCAGTGTTTTTTCCTTTGAAATTCACAGCAATCGTCCGGCCCAAGAGAGCGTGGCTGGTTGTTGTGCTGCTTTACGTGTTTTGGACGGTTTTTGCGTTTATGTTCGCAAGGAAGATCACGTTTTTTTTCACATACACGGCCAAATACAAAACGTGCCTCAGCACTTTTTACCTGGATTTCGATGACGCGGAACGGCTGCTCGACACCGTGGCCACGTGGTTGTCCTGCTACGTTTCTCTTGGAATCGTTGTCATCAGTTCTATTCTCATTGGCGCGAAGATTAAAATGGCGAACCGGAGAAGGGCGAAAATGACGTCATCAAACTCTGCGTCCTCTGTCACTCGCACGACCCAGACCTTAATGGCGGTCTGCGTGGTGTTCAGCATCACCCAAATGGTTCGGTTTCCGTACGCGATGTTCAGGGTGTCCTTCCAAGACGAGATCGCCTATGAAACATACCAAATGGCGCTAACGCTTACATCAAATTTGAACAGCGCGAGCAATTTTGTTATATACGTCATTTTGAACAATAAATTTAGGCGAATTTTCTTAGGACTGTTTCAACGAAAAGCAAATGTTAAATATTGTTCCAATGAAACATATGTAATGTGATGATGTTGAGCAGTGGTTCTCAACCTGTGGGTTGCGACCCTTTGGCTTTTTTTTTTGGGGGGGGGTGGGGGGGGGGTTAGGGTCGAACGACCCTTACACAGGGGTTGCCAAAGGCCATCCGAAAAGACGTATTTCTGAACAAGGAACGAACATAATTTTAGGGTTGGGGGTCAACACAACACGATGAACTGTATCAAAGGGTCGCGGCATTAGGAAGAATGGGAAAAACTGTTTTAGAGTATGTTTTCTTGTATACAAGTCAATAGCTAATATCAAGCTTTTAAATTATCATAAAATTAAGCATCTACGTTTCTTCTATTAGTGTGCTGTTAGGTTAAATTGATATTTATTAACCCCTAAGAACAATATTTTTTCAAATAAATCCTTAATGAGAATTTTTAAATTTTTTATATTTTATATTTAATAATGTAATGGCGAAACCGCTTTTAGACAGCAGATTGGATTCACCAATAATTTTAGAAAAATAAAGAAAATATTACGCAAATGACGCCCATTTGCCATTGACTTTTTTAAAGAATCTGATTTAGCGCAGTTATTGAAAAGTATATTTCGTGAGATCAGTGTCGTAACATTTCATTCAACTTTCCCATGGGGGGGGGGGGGGCAGAGAAAAACAGCATTTGGGGGGGGGGGGACAGGAAAAACTGACTTTTGGGGTGGAGGAGGGTGCAGAGATCTTGGTAGAATGCGTTGTCGTCGGGAACGAGTCTTTGTGCCAAGTTTCAGATCGATAGGTTGACGGGAAATGGGTCAATGGGCGATCCAAAGATTTTGCCAGCCACGAACAAAAGGGAATTGAGCATATAGGATTGAATAATATAAAGGAGACACATTCTTTTGAAGGGATTATTTTGAGTGTGAAGGTAGTTTTTTTTTTTTTTTTTAAACTGTGTTTTGGTTGTTTGTTTGTTTGTTTTTTCCTACCTTTTTTTGTTTTGTTTGTAAACCACCTTTTAGATTGGTCAATAAAAAAATATTTTAATTACTTGTTATAGTTTATTCGTCATTATTGCGTATGACTTATTTTTATTTTTATTTTTTTTGAAGCTACAATCAAATATGTGTCGTGAACATCTCGTCATGTTGATGGTTTATGGCCCCAGTTAAATACAAAGTGTTTACATGTACAGTATTCTTTACGTAAGATCTATGTTGAGTATGTGACATACTTAATTGTTCTATATTATATTACACAAGTCAGCGCATATGTACCAATGGGGTGGTGCTCATTATCTTGTGGTGGAAAGAGATCTAAATGAACACAGTTTCCTGAACACGTTGTCAAGGGAGAGTCAAATATAAAGTCTATACAATTATTTATATAGAAAAAATGTATCAGCACGCGAAGACACCGGTAAGACAAACCAGCCGGTCTTTTCTTTCAGGAGCCAATATATTATATGGCCGTGGCTTTTTCTGTCAGGGACCCATCTAGAACATCCACCGGTATTTTTTTTCTTTTGCCGAAACTGATCTAGCACATTCCCGGGTCATTTATTTAAGAACCAGATCTAACAAATCCACAAGTATTTTCTTGCAGATCTAGCAAATCCACAAGTATTTTCTTGCAGATCTAGCAAATCCACAAGTATTTTCTTGCAGATCTAGCAAATCCACCGGTAGTTTTTTTGCAGATCTAGCAAATCCACCGTTTTTTTCTTGCAGGGTCCCATCTGTCACATCCGCCGGTCTTTCCTTTCGGTGCCCAATCAAGCAAATCCAACGGTTGTGTCAAAAACGATCTAATTATTTTAAAAAAACACAACTATAATCAGCATTAAATGATTATTTACGAATAAAATTGTTAAAAGTACAGAACCATGACGGAAGAAATAATGAGAGTATGCACATTCGTCTCCTTGCTCTCTCCTGTGTAAAATGAAAGACTCTAGTTAACACGTTTCGAATAAAAGATTTAGTCAACACTAAAAAACAAAGAATAACAAAAGACGTTGGCTACCATTTGTAAAAGTATATTTTTGTATTTATTCTAAAAAAATGACATGCTTTCATCCTTAAGGTGACAACACAATATAACCAGAACCTGGTTTTTAGCAATATCCCCATCTTTAATATATAACTCTTTCATACACAAAATGAAAATGTTGGGGGATTACTTTCAAGCCATGTAAAGTAAATAAATAAATATTGGAACAAGATTTTTAGGCTTGAAAAGCAGGAAAAAAAAAAAACAATTGAAAGGATGTTTTGCCAAAGTGATGTCCTCAGCAGACAACACACACTAAGAAAAAACAATTTATTTGACTTTGAACAAACTAACATGTTCCCAGCTCCCATAAGGTATTAAACAAACATGATCCTTTAATGAGCACTCGTTCTATTGAATAGAGTAAAAGACATCTGAATACTGCAAAACACACGCGCATGTACTTTGCCAACCTATAGCTATGTGTGTCTGTTTTGATTTGATATTTGATATTTAAACATTTATTCCTGAACATAAGCTATTTCAATATTGCTGCTGTATTATTAAAGTACATGAGTTTATAGCAATAATCATTTACAAGTGCATATGAAAGTCATTATTTTAATTTGTATTCAATCTCATATTTATTAAAACTATTCACAGATAGGTGGATCTTAAGATTTTTACTTAAAATTCTCTGACAGGATCTTGAGACCAAAGCTGGATATGGTTTATAGTTATTTTTATTTTGACAAAAAAGTTTTACTTGAAACTGAAAGCTTTAACTCTAAATGTTTTACTCATTTCAGAGAACTGACACAAGATAAAGCTGGCAGATATCTGGTAATTTACAATGAAAATAGTATCGGTATATATTAATGTAAATATGATCTCTCGAAACGAACATAAATATATATTTAATACTGTGTAAGTGATTCTCATTGACATTAGCCTACCTTAAACAGTCTAATAGAAGTTCTATTTGAAACCTACTTAGTACATTTGACAATGTCCCGCCCTGAATTAAAATGGAGCATTATTGCTATCTCCCCTAGATAAAATTGATTACGCCAAGTCAGACGATGAATTGTTATCAATTCTGTGTAGATATGTTTAATGGATAGATCTCCGTAGTGTTGCCGGGCGACTCGACAAAGTTTTTTTTCTTTCAAACTTCCGGTCTTAATATCCCACAATCCTTCAAATGGGCTCTTTCATTTCCTGTTTTCTTTATTCCCAACATGGAGTCAGAGGATGTTAACTTTTATTTTAGTTTCTTTCTACCTGCAGCTTTTGTTTCTTCTTTGTTTGATAACAAAGTCTTTTACCCGACACCAGTGTCGTTTAGGTGTGTCTCAGTTACAGATTTTATTTAAATTATCCTACCAGAAAAAAAAGTTCATTAGTCAGAATTGTCTTTTAAATTGACGATGTCTTTCCTTTGAAAGTAAACATGATCATTCTGTTGACCTTTAGTCGAAGGATTTATAGTACTGCAGGATAAGTCCACTTATCATGTTCATTGATGATGAAATTATACTTCAGATTATCCAATAGAAATGGCCATGCTTATTTCCCTGCTCGTTTTATCATTCTCTTCTTATCATTCGATTGGTCCAAAATAACGTATCTGATTGAAGAGTTCAATTCATGTTTAGCGATGTTATCGTATTCTTAAAATATCCGATTGTGTTTGATTGCTTCAAGTTATCTCTCTTTTTTAACATCAGTTTATTGCTTTTTTTTTTGGTTCTTTTTATGAAATTACTGTTAAAGAGCTTCTTTTATGACATATTTATAACACATTTTTAATAGCAATTATCCTCTGTGTCTTAAAAACATTATTTTACATTCAATCTTTCCCGTTAGATCAATATCACATGCTTGGAACTTGTTATTTAAAGCCAGCCTTTTTAAACATCGTGTCCCAGAAAGAGTCGGCAAGAGGGCGCCACGGTGAAACTGAGGAAAAGGGGGAAGGGGGGGGGGTAGAATATCGTTAACATTTTAGGACAAGATCTTATTATATACTTAACTGTATTTTTTTAAAATTGATTATATAATTATAAAATAAAATGAGTAAAACAGAGTAGGGTTAAACCTGAAAAAATAAACGCAACAAAAAAATAAAAATAAAAAATAAAAATAAGAAATAGCACTTAGCTGGTAAGTAGTATATGTGGGCAGCCCTACTTATACTACTTACCAGCTAAGTGCTATTTCTTATTTTTATTTTTATACCGTTTTTTCTGTTGTTTTGTTCGATGACGAAGGCTTTCTGCCGACACGTTCGCTGTTTTGTTGCGTTTATTTTTTCAGGTTTAACCCTACTCTGTTTTACTCATTTTATTTTGTACTAACCTGATTGCAGTCTCTCCCCTTATTACCCCTATATAATTATATATGGTATTTCAAATTATTTGAAACTGTTAATTAAACTTTACATAAGTCCATGTACTGAAAGGTTTGTTACAACGACTAGGGCTGACGGTTCGGAGTTTGATCATGGACACTCGCATCATTTGACCCTACTGGATACACAAGTAACTTCCCATCTTCACGTGTTAAGGACATCAATCACTTCTGCGGCTCACGCTTTACACGTATCTCCCACATCCGACTACAGACAGTGTCGCTTCTATGTTTGTATCAGGTTTAGTACACGTCTTATATCAGCTTTAAGCGATTCACTGATGCATGCCTCTGATCGTCTAAATGCCACGAATGTTTTAAGACCATTTTATCTAACTGATAAGCCAAAGGCGCTAACTTCACTTACATATATGTCACACAATTCACCTAACACGTCTGTCACACAATTCAGTAACACGTCTGTCACACAATTCACCTAACACATCTGTCACACAATTCAGTAACACGTCTGTCACACAATTCAGTAACACGTCTGTCACACAATTCAGTAACACGTCTGTCACACAATTCAGTAACACGTCTGTCACACAATTCAGTAACACGTCTGTCACACAATTCAGTAACACGT